GGGGTGCCATCCCCTCTGAAGAGGATCAAAATTTTGATGGCATGTATTCGGATCATCCTCAGGGATGTTTCCCAGACCGTCGCCAATAGCCCATTGTGCAGCTCTAGTGCGACGTAATAGAATAACAACAATCCTAAATACTTCTATATTAGTTGGCCTTAAAAAGATTATTTTAAGCTTTATATATATATATATATATATATATATATATGTCTTAGGGTTCGTATCTAAAAATACAACTTATATTTTTTAATTAAAACGTTAACTGCTGCAATTATTCATACTGTTGAAAGCGATTTAAATTCTTAGAATTAAAGATAATTTCTCAGAAATACCCACATAAAGCCTTTTGTTTGGTAAAAGTAAAAATAAAAGCTCATCACAAAATAGTTTCAGGTTTTCAGCTCCTGAGGCACTATTTATTTTAGAGGCAATGTTTATCATTCCTGGATAAGTTTTATAGAGGGGTTTTGCATTATGTGACCCTATAGAAAGTAGAAACCCCTCTTTCACAATTTTTTTCTTTTTTCAGATCACAGAAAAACGTTACCTTTTTTTTATTAAACCTCATTTAGAAATCTTTTCATGAGAACATATTTAAATATTTGAAAAGTATCTTTATCATAGAAATAACATTTACATCTGTAACTCGCTTTGAATTTGAAGAATCATGTAGCATAATGGCAAATAAAAAAAACTAATTCTATAATGTCGTAGCTCAAAGGAAAATGTGATAACGCATTTAAATTTAAAATAAGTTAATAGGCTTTTTTGCTTTTATCGTGAATTAAATATTATTTAATTAATAGTTAAATTTTATAATTAATTAATAGTTTAATTTCATAGTTTAATTTAATATTATAATAAATAATTTTAAAATGTTGCAAGTTTATGATTTCGAAATCAAATCTGATTTTTTTGTTATTACAGATTATAATAAAAACGAATTGGTCTCCTTTCCTTGATAAATGCTATTTCCAAAGAATAATACAAATATTATTTTCATTTTCATTTGAGATATTTTATTTTGTTTCGAAATCGAAAATTAAACTCACTCAGCTCTAATAGTAAAACCTATTTTTTAAATTTAAGATTAATTTTATTAGATACAGATTTCATTTTAGAATGTACTGAGTGAACAACGCAAAAAAAATATTTTATAATATGAAATATTTTATGAAATTTTTAATTATAACAATGAACATAGATTGCAATATTTTTGCATAATTTACCCCTAAAATTGAGTTTTTTCTATGAAACATGTTTACTGAACTTTTGTATTTTCATAACAATATTCATAATCCATAAATCTATTCATAACATCGAAGGCTTCCAATTTTGTTATCTTTAAATGGAGATTTAAACTTTTTTTTACTATTTATAATTCATGGTATAACGTGTTTTAAATTGATTTTTGTCTACGAAGAAGAAATATATATTTTCACTCACTTCCCCGTGAACTAAAAATTGGTTATGGCGCCTTGAGGTATAAAAGAATTACTTTCACCCATTCTTTCACTTTCACCTAAACTCATTGTTTCCTTAAGCAGTATAATTAATGAAATGTTTTAAAAAATGGTCTTATCTTTTTTCTATTCCCCGAGTTGTTTTTATTTTCATGTTTTTTTTCCATGACACAATAAATTTAAATCCTTAATTGACTTTTTTCTTTTAACTGAAGAGTTACTCATTATTCGTTGGTAAAATATTTTCCGCATTTCTAATTTCACATACAATAATCACTTTATCTAATATAACAAGGATCAGCGTTATGCAAAGTTATATTCAGATTAGAGTAAAAGTGTTTACTTTTATTAATGATAAAAAACATAGTTATAAAACTATGTTAGTATTTTTTGCAAACCGAAGTAAACTCATAATCGTTTTAAATAATGACAACTAATAACAAAGTAAAAAGCAAATCACTCAATGCATGTACCGCATGATTTAAACACCTTGTTTAACTTGAAGCTTTTATATCATACATAGTTAGTTACTACATAGGTAGGTAGTTCATTTACGTCGCACTAGAGCTGCACAATGGGCTATTGGCGACGGTCTGGGAAACGTCCCTGAGGATGATCCGAAGACAAGCCATCACAATTTTGATCCTCTGCAGAGGGGATAGTTACTACATACAGGTAACAGTCTGTGATTTAGTGAGAGCCAAAATTTTGCAAGAAGAAGCGAAATAGAATTTTTCATGTAAAGTTAACATAGAGTGCATTGATAAGGTATCTTTAGCAAGTGGAATCTTAGCATCTTAATCTTAATTATTCAATCTTAACCAAAGTTACTATATAACTTGAAAACTAATGAGAAATATCTAAGTATTTTTGTGAAATAATTAGCTTTTAAAAGCTTTGATAGCTAGACTTGTCATTTTGACATTATTTACCTAAATATATGCTACATTTTATGTAATTATATGATATACATGCTAAATAAAACTACATGCTAACCCACACTGAACAGTTACAGAAATTGGTAGAATGATGAGTTAACAATTATAATTTGCTCAGCTTCTTAACAGATCATCAATACACTCAAGATATTCATTAAAATGTGGTTCATTTTCTATTAATTGTATAATATTAATAAACTTTTCCATTAACTTCAATGCAGATTCATGTTCTTTTTATTTTAAGTATAAGTTTAAATGTATCTATCATATTATTCATAACTGCATACTTATGAATTGACAATTAATACACGAAAATGATTCGCCCAAAGGTTATTTAAAGTTTTCCTTTCCCTTTTTTATATTTTGATTTGAAAACATTCTGGTAATAAAACCGAAGTTTTAACGTATTTAAACCATTCATTCGGTTTATTTTTTTAAAATTTTTTTTTTATGTTGTTATGATAACGGTTTACCGGAAATTCTGAACTTTGTGGTCCTTATTACCACACATTTATTAAAAATACAAAACTGAAATATAAATTTAACCGAATAAATGGTTTTTACACTATGCTCTAAGGTATCATGATAAAATTCCAAAAACCTTCATCAGGATTATCATTCATTTTGCCATTTATTTGAAAATTTTAACTTTTTGATGCCTATGCCTTTTACTAAATGGAATAGTAGTAGATTGTTCACTTTTCTATGGTTTATTTAAAATAGCGGTTTAGGCTGATTGGATTTGAATGACGGTTACTTATTTATTTTCTTAACATATTCCTCGATCAGAGGGAAAATGGGCCTAAATGATGCGTCCAAGTGTTTTAACAATACTATACTCGGATAGATCAAGCTATGATGTCTGTTCTATGCATCTCTTAGGGGGGTAGTTAGGCTTATTTATTTATTTACCTACATAAGTACCTACATATACCTACATTGTTACTAATATTTAAAATAATGACAATAAAATATACATTATGAAATTGGAAAAAGTTTTATGCGTCAATAACTTCTATTTTTGAAATTCATGATTTAATTTTCTTTGATCTGGTATATTTTTTCTTCTTCTTTTCATTTTAAACTTACGAGACGATATCGATTTCAATGGCAAATAAAAGTTCTTAAACGTCTAAAAGAAGAAAAAAAAATAATACTTTTTTATTCACCGAAATTCTTCTAGTACATTTTATAATTGATTTGATGTCACCTTTATATTTTCTGAAGCAAAACATGGAAAATTACGTTTTCTTATTTATTGTTTTATCATAATTCCTACCGATCGCTATCTGATACTTCACTGCAAAATTTTTCCAATCAGATGCAAAGAAAATTGCCACAAAATGATGGAAATAAATCAATGAATGCATTGAAATAAGTTTTTAAAAAAAAGTCATGCGAAAAAATTTATTTTTTAAGCGAGAAGTTGTTTTCTGCGCCACCGTGACGTCACTGGCTAAAGCTCGGAGAGGCACGAGTCTATTCAATGAAGTGACCTAGCACTTCTATTGACTTTTTAGCCCTAAACCGTGGGATGTTTTCGTGGTTTTCCTCCCCGTGTAATCCCAAATGTGGGTTAGTTTTATCAAAAAGTCCTCCGCGAAGGCGAAATTTCTCCCAATACTTGATCCAGGAGTTTCCTTGTCTTCTGGATTGGTAACAGAGGTGAATATTAGAAGTCGTAAATCCAAATTTTGGTCGGCTGTTCAAC